AACTGCCCTATTGCTATGCAAGAAAAACATAGGCATAGACATTGAGAGGTGGGTCTGAAAGTTAAGAAAACTGGGCAATGTAAAGCACCAAAGAAAAAGTGCCACACAGTTTAGACAAGCACTAGTGCTAGCTATTCAATCAGGTATGTTCTGTATTAGATACAAGCAATAAGTTAATAGATTTCATAGATGAAGATGATGAGAATGTGGATTAGAGACTTTCCAAAGCATATTGATTATGTCATTAGCATACTGTATTTTGGGCAAAATTCTACATTGCAGATTCTCAGTAAGTAGAGTTCATCATCAGTTCATAGACCAAATATGAATATATAATTTTATATATTATATAAAACTGGGAATGGAGAAATAAAAATCAAGAGTCAAGTTATTAATCAAGAGTCAAGTTATTAATCAAGAATTGCGACAATAAAGAGTATAACCACAGTTTTAGGGCCAATATAGGCTGGATCATGAACTAAACAACCACAGAAGGGAACCTATTTTTGACCATATTAACAGATAACACCTGGGACTCTCAGAGAACACTGGATTTCATACCAGCTCTTTCTAATTACTCGTGTGATCTATCATTCTAGCTATGCTTTTGGTTTACAGAATTTTGCAAACAGTTTTACTGTTTACAATGTTTATGAATGTTCAATATGCTCTGCCCTAAAAGTGAAATTTAGCAGGATTTTTATCATATTTAATACAAAAATTTAGGAAATTACTTACCCTATTGGTCTTGAAACGACAAGCTCCACTTGTGGCTCAGGTTTGGATTCTAAAATGATGTTATACACTTCCTCAAAGGTGGCTCCTTGTAGTAGCCTTCCATTCCATTCCAATACTTCATCACCTATAATTTCAGTAATAACACTGCTTAAGACGTTCTGCTGTGAACTGTACTTACAATGACAATTTAAGCCCTTCTACTGTTAGTCTAATGAATTGTGGAACCTGTGTTAAGGAACAGGTTTAGACTCCTTCATACAGGAAAATTCTGAGTGTTAAAGGTTGTCTGCAGCTCAGCTTCAAATATGTAAAGTTCAGTGAAACGGTACTATCATCAGTAGGACCCCTATTAAACTAAACATAGCCCTTACTCGCTTTGGCAGCTGTGGCTTAAAAGAAACCCCATCACGCTCTTCAGAAAATGCAGATTTTTAAAAGAGCATATCTCATCAATTTACTATGTTGAAGATCCATTTACTTCTACAAGTTTAGTATTTCAGGTTCAGACAGTTCTTATGTTAAACAGTTTGTATTTTTCTTGCACATTCTCCAGTCTAGCAATCCATGGTTTGCATGTGTGGATAGAAGCAGTTTCTTAGCTGAACTGGTTCTGTTGGCACATTTGTAATAGCTTTGTTTGCTCTAAATAACACATACACCACAAAACGACTGGGCAGGACATCAGTGGACTATTATTTTGAGTATAAAAATGTGAATAAAAATGTTAAAATATGATTTTTAACAGCATGAGAATTTATATATTTCACCAAAGCGGTAATGTTAATAATCTAGTAACTCAATGTCAGGTTGAATTCTGTAGTAGTTCATCACACCTATTTAACATAATTTCACATCTAATTAAACTTGCTTGCTTGTTATCACCTGTAGAAAAGCAATGCAGCAGTATAGATCTATAGTAGATACATACCTGGTCTAAGATGCCCCACTGTATCAGCTAAGCTTCCTTTTTTAACTTTGGTGATAAATGCGCAGAGTCGACCTGATTCAGTCATCTTTCCTCCTACTACCTGTTTCAAAGAGGAAGTATTTTCATAGAATAAAAATTACTTCAAATGACTTAAATGTTCTGGCAACAGAAAGAATAATTCAATTATTTCCTTGGTTTTCAGGTAGCCCAGGTAAGACAGATACACTTGAAAAAAACACCACAGAATTTTGGCTATGACAGGTTTTGTTTGTACCTTTTCTGGCTATTTGTGTAATTTAAACACAATGCAAATACAGAACGCTAAAGCTTTTAAACTTTAGCAAATATATGTATGGTACTTCACTGTATTATAAATAAACACCCAAAAAAAGTAAGGTAGACTGCTTGCTTCAATACTTTTTAACAGAAAACAGACATATTGAAGTAGAACTCATGATGTTCACACTAAACATCAAATGTTTCTATCAATTAATCAAATCCACTTTGGCTGGGCAAGTCAGATGAAAATACTTGTCATACTGAAGATTTCTCTAAAGGAAACTTCAACAGGTTTGACCTTACATTTATCTTAGAATCAGGAGATTCAAATATCAGAGTTGGTTATAACTATAATGATTAAAAAGTAGTTACTCTTGAACCTAAACTATTTATGAATCGCAGTGAAGAGTTCATCTTTATAATAGAGGATTTTAGAATTTTAAATGCAGAAGTTTAAACAAAAAATGCTTCAGCGTGGCACTGTTAGTCTCATTTTCTGACCTTAAGACAATAACACACATACCTCCTTCTCCACTGACTTCAAAATACAATCATTTGTCAGTTAAATAAAAAATTCAAAAATTTCCAAAGAATGTTAGCATATCTTATAAGTAACCACACCGATTTAATCCCTATTTATGGTGTATGACTATAGCCTAAGATGTGTACTCAAAGTGAAGTCAGTGTCATGCTAAATAGAGAACAGAGAATTAATCAGACTTCTTAATGATTTCTCACAACAAGGATGTTGATTCAAAACAAATACATGCTTGTTTTGTTTACCATGTGTAATTCATTCCCATTCTTGTACCAGTATTTCTGGAACTGCAAATAATAATATCACACAAAAATGAGATCAAGATATGAGCTAGCCATAGCTTCATAATGTGTTCAAAGAGTACTGCATCACAAAAATGCAAACACAATACTTTGTGATAATATACAATAAATACTAAGTAATTTTCTGTCTTGTTGATTTAAAATGTAGCAAATCAAACAATCAGAGGGGAAAAAAATCCAGAAACAGGCTCTTCCATTGGCAACTCTGCTCTGGATTGAGATGTCATTAACTTCCAGATGTCCCCCAGATCTTCAAAGAGATAATTTATTTTTCACATTTCTCCCCTCTTTTGGGGAACAGAAGTTATACCATGGTGCAACACTCAGTGTTGAAGAAATCAGACAGGGCTTGGCTTGCCCAGCAAGGATGCAATTAGTACCTTACAGAGCAGACATTCTCAGCAAACTTGTGAAAACATGTCTAGTCTTTCTGAGAAACATGATTTTTTGAGCCTGTCAGGGACCCTGTAAAATTACTCTTGGCAATTGAATATAAAATGTCTCTGTATTTTAATTTTGAGAATGATAAGACATTTAGATGTCAGTATACGATATAATATGAGAATACTTTCATTATAAAGGTAGCTAGTTTAAAATGAGAGTTGTTAGTTCCAAAATTATTCATTACTAACCTTCAGTCCAAGCATTGCTCCTGAGTCTCTAGGCACACTTCCATCTTTTAGTCGTTTATTTAACAAAATCCGACCAATGAGACGGTCTCCATCTTTGGATGGTTGCCAAGTTACTGGATGCTATCATACAGTGTTAATGGAAAACACAGTGAATAGGATTTTAAAGAAAAATATTTCAGTAATACTTTTCATCTCCTGATGCATTTTTAAAATACTGTGAAAATATTATGATTACACTAATATTTAATGTAATAGAATTACAGAAAACTGTGGTGGAAAAGATTTATTTGGACATACAGTCCATCACAATGTATTTCTAGTATTTAATAACATTATCTATTTTACTAAATCCAATTTGTAAACATCTAGAACAATCTTTGCATCTTGATGATTAGACAGATATAGACAACTATACATAGTTGTCTACACACAATAACAATCACACCTGAGTACCGACAAAAGCAACTGTAGAGGTGCAATGTAAAAGTAATACTGAAAAAATAAGTTTAACTCAAAACAGAAATTTGATGTAAGAAATTTTTTCTCTTTCTGCTGTTCCAAACATGTCAGTCTTCTCTAAGACTGACAAACTTTTCCAGTGTTTTACTTTCTCTCAGTAGTACTATATTAAAAATTATAGAATACATTAAAAGGTATAATCATTACTCTATTTAAATGTATTGTTTCTTTCTTGGAATAATTACTTCACATATGAAGCACAGTCACAGTGAACGTTATTACTCCATTACTACAACATGGGTACAGTTATACTTGTACATTGGTATAATTAATAAAAATTTAACATTTTATTTTGTGTAATCATAGCACTTTTTCACAGATGAATACTATTTCATGCTCTGTTTCATGCAAAATTAGCAGGCACAGACAAATCTGCTCCCATTACAACTAATAACTCCAAAAAGATTTATCATAATCTCCACCAAACAGAAAGCAAAAATAAAAAATACCAAAGCAGATGGCAAAGCCTTTAATTCTGCACAATACTGCACAAAAATGGCATGGCAACAAAACAAAAGAACAACCATGACAGTGAAAGGGAAAAAAAGAAAAACAACTTTTCTGTGCAGAGAGACCCAATTTTCTCCCTTTTTCACCTGGGGTTTAAACTATTAATTTAATTTCAGCCCCAGGAGTTTGAACGTAGTAAATCAAATAAGCCAATCAGTAGAATCCTTATTGTTAATTACTTTATACTTGAAGGTAATACCACGATATGCTATTATGCAACCGTAAGAACAACATTCCTTTATGCCTCTCAATTTTTTTCTTAGGCTGCCAAACAGTAAAAGCTGCAAGCATGCAGAGACTTTTCATTTGTTTTTCTTTTCTGCACCTTTAGAAATGCTACATTGTCTCTAGAAACACCCTATCTTTTATTTTATGCACTATTTTAATGAGTGACAGAGAGCAAACAAAGACCAAATGAGCAGGTTAAAATGCAGGCTCCGTATTCTCAGTACCTTCTCGCTATGGCTATGTTCCTCGTTTAGAGTTGTGCTACTACACGTATCTACCCCAGAGTCTTTTATCTGAGGCTCAGACCATTCCAAGTCCTCTTCCAAAGAGTGGCCACCAAAGCACACCATTTTCTTTTGCCTCTCGGATAAGGTGTTAGAATCCGACAAAACTGCCTGCTCACTAGTTTTTCTTTTTCCCCTTTGACTGTCCCCTATAGGTGCGGGATAAAAAAAAAAGAAACAAAAAAGAAAACATGCAAAAGTGTAAATAAAACAAAGAAAATGTGAAATGATAAAGGAAACTGAATGGTAAGGCTCCACATGTCTCACCAAAGACATTGGGGATGCCTCACTGCTATGCCAAGACGTATGGTCCAACCAGTTGTAATCCATGTCTCCTGCGAGAATCAGACAGACAAGATAGTGCAGTAAAGAAAAGGTGAAAGAAAGGACAGACAAAGATACAGTAAAATTGTAGAGACTTCTGATTATCCTATAGTGCTAGCAGGACTTGCAAAGCAATTCCAAGAGAAAGTTAAGGCTCCGGAAACAGAGTACATGGAATATGAAATACAGTGAGGAAGGAGGTACGTTTGTGTATGTCTACGTGTGCATAAAATTATGTATTGTGTAAAGCATCATTGCTTCAGAGTTTTTAACTGTTCCTATAAAATTACTTATAGTAAATTAAATGAAAAGCCAAACTGTATTGTATTCCTAACAGAATTTTCAGAAAGGAAAGCATTTGAATATGGAATGAATTTTCATCATAATCTAAAGAAACAGTTTTGTCTTAAGAAATGTATTTCTTTGCTTTTCTAACACAATCTAGTATTCATTCTAATCACATCAATAAAATACTTAAAACAATGGTACTCTATATTCAGCTGTACAGTACATGATGTTTTAAGGAAGGTTAAATGATCTGTTAAGTATGATAGCTTCATAAGGAAAAAAAAATATAGAAAATATTTTTAGAATAAAAAGCATATTAACTTTGCTTGAAATTCCCAGAGAAATGTCTACTGGTTAACTATCAGGAAGAATTCTAGTAAGTACAGGTATCCCATAACTGGGAATAAATGTGTAGGGTTTTGACAAAATATATTTACGCATTTTATACAATCAGATTTTAGCCTGTATGTCAGACACATGGTAGCAAGAAAGGTTTAAAAAACAGTTTTAAAGAAAAGGTCTAAATTAATGCTGCTGTCCATAGAACTGGAGAGTGACTCATGTATTTTAATAAAACATTTTCTTTTCTGTAGGTACTTTAAATTGTAAATTCTGCCCACACATTTTGCATTATTACATTTATCTCTCTGTTTTTTTCTCCCACCATTGTTACTACATTTTATATGAAAAATATTTTGTTACTACATGCTACATAATATTTTTATACTATTGTATGCAGGAAAAAATGTTGACTTTTCTATCGAATTTCATGACCAAAAGAACACTAAACGAAAGCAATTCTGCTCTTTTTCGTAGAGACCACAAACATTTTTCTGTTTCCGTTACTTCAGATCCTTTGACATTGCTCAACCTATTCCTCTGAAACTACATCAATAAGTTGGTGAAATATAACTAATAGGTCTAATCACAGTCTTAACAATTGTCTAGAAAACTTTACAGAGATGATCTGAAGATAGAGCCCCTTAAAACTAAGGTACAAAAAGCTAATACATGCTTTAGAAAAGTAAAATATAGTCTTCTCAGAGGGATATTATGTACAATGAGAAATACAATAATTTTTCACTTTTTTTCTCCTAATATATAGAGATGCATGTGCTATATGGAAAAAAACCCAAGACCCATTTTCATTTTAAAGAAGGAAATGTACAGAATACAAAGGTTTTATTTTCAAAAAGACACTTTGAACTTAGTCCCTTATATTTGCAGAAACATTGTAGAATATTAAATATCCTTTGATTTCATACAAACAGTAAGGGACCTCATGGAATTATTCTAAAGCTTTAATTCATTAATATTTTCTAAGAAATGAATGGGCCTGCTGTAAATATATTAACTGTGGTTCTTGATTCTTGGAAGGAAGATAACATTTTAAATTCACTGTATGGGGTTTGCATGGCAAGGTTTTGGTAGTGGGGGGGCTACAGAGGTGGCTTCTGTGAGAAGCTGCTAGAAGATTCCCCCGTGTCTGACAGAGCCAATGCCAGCCAGCTCCAAGATGGACCCACCGCTGGCCAAGGCCAAGCCCATCAGCAACAGTGGCAGCGCCTCTGGGATAACATATTTATGAAGGGGAAAAAATCCCCTGCACAACAGAACTGCAAGTGGAGAGAGGAGAGAGAATATGTGAGAGGAACAACTCTGCAGACACCAAGGTCAGTGCAGAAGGAGGGGCAGGAGGTGCTCCAGGCATGGAGCAGAGATTCCCCTGCAGCCCCTGGTGCAGCCCATGGTGAGGCAGCTGTGCCCCTGCACCCATGGAGGTCCACGGTGGAGCAGATATCCACCTGCAGCCCGGGGAGGATCCCACACCGGAGCAGGTGGATGTGCCCGAGGGAGGCTGTGATCCTGTGGGAAGCCCATGCTGGAGCAGGCTCCTGGCAGGACCTGTGGGCCTATGGAGAGAGGAGCCCAGGCTGGAGCAGGTTTGCTGGCAGGACTTGTGACCCCATGGGGGACCCACGCTGGAGCAGTCTGCTCCTGAGGGACTGCACCCCGTGGAAGGGACCCACGCTGGAGCAGTTCGTGAAGAACTGTAGCCCATGGGAAGGACTCAGGTTGGAGAAGTTGCTGGAGGACTGTCTCCCATGGGAGGGACCCCACGCTGGAACAGGGGAAGAGCGCGAGGAAGAAGGAGCGGCAAAGACAACGTGTGATGGACTGACCACAACCCCCATTCCCCATCCCGCTGCACTGCTGGCAGGGAGGAGGTAGAGAAAATCAGGAGTCAAGTTGAGCCCGGGAAGAAGGGAAGGGGGGGGACAGGTGTTTTAAGATTTGGCTTTTATTTCTCATTACCCTACTCTGATTTGATTGGTAATAAATTAAACTAATTTCCCCAAGCTGAGTCTGTTTTGCCCATGACTGTAATTGACGAGTGATCTCTCCCTGTCCTTACCCCAACCCAAGAGCCTTTTGTTTTATTTTCTCTCCCCTGTCCATCTCAGGAGGGGGAGTGATAGAGTGGCTTTGGTGGGCACCTGGTGTCCAGTCAGGGTCAACCCACTACACTCACCAAAATTATTTTCTCATGACAGTTAACATCTTGAATACATTACAGATAAAAGTGTGGCTATCCTGCTAAAGGGAAAAGAAATATTCTTCTGAAAGCTAGTAAAATTTTGCAAAAGGTACTTCTGGCATGGAATTTCCAGTGCTGTCTTACCTCTGTCTCCAAAGACATTGCTTCAGAGGAACTGAGTGAAATCATCAGTGAGCTCATGAAGATCTAGCCTTTACTGCATAAATACACATTTAGAGATATCTGGAAGATCGCAAGAGTTCCAGTGTACATGTTGTCTGTTTTACAAAACGTTCATTTTAAAATATATTTTAAAATGGATCTTAAGTGAGGAAAACTCAATTACAGTAGATTACTTCTCTGCTTTAATTGCATGAACTGAAGGCACATGAGCCCATAGAGTTTTTCCCAGCAGTTGTTTTCTGTGTCATCAATACAACTGCTGTACCCAAAACCAAAGTCTGACTAAAAAAGCTGCAGTGTGTTTCCCTATAATTTGGTACCTAATTCTAGGAGCAAAGCACTGAAATAAAATGGGCTTTATCAGCAGAACAGTTAAAAATGATAATTCTTACTGATTCTAATTCTTGACTGCTTCTGAGAAATGGTGTACTTTCATTGAAATGACTAAATTTAAATGTAGATCTCTACTATTAGGCATTAAGAATGCACCACTGCAAATTACCAGCCATTTCTTAAGGCTTTAAAATTCTCAGCAACAATCTCCACTATCAGTTATAATCTAAAAGAAGCCACCAGAAAGGAATCCAGGAGTGTAGCTATTATGTCCTTGCTGCTCTACAGTGAACATAGCACTTTACCCATACTTTGTCAAACTCATCATGGCTTTGCCAGCTCTCCTGTTCATGCTTTTTCCCATATCAATTACAGAGTTTTGTATGAGCTTGTCAAGAGCAAAGATTCCTATCAAACTGAACTTTCACTTGTGTGTCTACATAGAAAACAACTTCTTAAAAATAGGAAAATAAGTTATTGAAAAGTTGAGGCCCCTGAGATGTACTGACCATATACACATTCCCACTGCAAATGTGCATACATATAGCTGGTCATCAAAAACTGGTCCAATCTTCACCTGCTACTTGCATGTCCACAATACCTGCATATAGGCATACACTCAAAGACAGAAACTAAATTAGCTTTACAGTAACTACACTTTACAGTACAGATGTGCTGTACATACATAAGTTCATCCTATAGGTGTTTATATGAGCAAATGTTGAGCAGTGTTGGGCTCTAACAGTCCGGCGTATGCACACCCACATTTGAAACATATACACTGACTTTCAGTTAGAGAAAGAAATTCTGGATCCTTTTGTATTTTTTAAATAGAGCTATCCAAAATAGTAATCTACATACATTAATGCATACAATAATATGTAATATTATTGATATCACATATTATTTAAGTTATTGAGAGTGATAAATTATTGAGAGTGATATCTTAAAATTTTTAAAACTTGCCATTATACAGTAAAAATAAAATACATTGGTTATTTTCCTACTATAGAACTTCCAATTTCTGTCTCCTTTCAGAGAAAAAAAAAAATTCTCTTATGGGAAGTTCTTTTACATCCTGTTTAGAGAAATTTTACAGACAACTCTCAAATAATTGAAACTAGAGACTTCTAATTCTTCTACCCAAACTTTGGATATTTATTATACAGATCTGTACATCTGAATTAATCAGCCTATGTTCCATTTACAGTCAGTGAAGGGAAATAGAACTTTTTAAGGTGTGGTTCTTTTGAGCTGTTTTAGATGTGTACTTCCAGGTGAGATAAATCATAACTTTTTCATACCCAAAATGTCTAATTTCTCCCCCACTGCTCATAAAGTAGGTCTCAGCGACTCATTCAGATGGTCATCATCTTTTCACCAGGAGGATCCTACTACCCTAAATTACTATTTTGACACAGCCTCACCTATTTGTTTATATATCCAAGAAAATACCAAAATTAGCACAGAAAGGACTCAGGA